AAAATGAAGAGGATGAAGATGATGAGGATGATGAAGAAGGTGAAGTAGTAATTCTTAAATGTCCCAAGAATTTAAATGAAAATTTAAATGAATTTTTAGAAGAAGTATGATAGTATATTATTTTCTATTTTAATTTAAATTAAAATTTATTTATATTAATAATAATTATTATTTTTATAGTGGGAATATCATGCAAGTGTTTTAGCTTCAAGTGATATTATAGAATTTTATGGATTCACAAAAAATCCAAATACTTCAAAATATATGGTAGTAATGGATTATGCAAATAAAGGTAATTTAAGAGAAAATTTAACAACAATAGTCGAAAATAATTGGAAAAAAAAATTATATATGTTGTATGAAATTATTTCTGGACTTAGTAATATACATGAAAAAAATCTTATTCATTGTGATTTTCATGATGGTAATATTTTAAATCATAATAATAAGAATGAGGATAAAATCTATATTAGTGATTTAGGATTATGTCAACCTGTAAAATCGTTTTTGAAAAAGCATGATATTTATGGTGTTATATCATTTATGGCTCCTGAAGTTTTAAGAGGCAAATCTTATACTCCAGCTAGTGATATGTATAGTTTTTCTATGATTATGTGGGAACTTACATCCGGGGTATCACCATTTAATGATAGAGCACATGATCTTCAACTTAGTTTAAGTATTTGTAAAGGTGAACGTCCTGAAATTATTGAAAATACTCCACAATGCTATGTAAATTTAATGAAAAAATGTTGGAATGAAGATCCATTAAACAGGCCATCTGCATCAGAAGTGAAAGTTGTTATTGAGAATTGGATTTACTATCCTGGTAGTAATAAATTCAGTGAAGAATTAAAAAGCAACATTATGGAATTTATAAATGCACCAATTGGGCATAACAATCTTGCTACTAAATCTCATCCTAAAGCATATTTTACAAGTCGCTTACTTGATTTTACTAGTAAAGATTTAAATGAAATTCTTAAAAGTGAAAATTCACAAGCATATCGTGCAAGTCATTCAGATTTGAATGATTGTGTGATTAATGATTTGAGGTCATTAGGTATATACTTTAATATATAAAAATTAATCTTGCAAATTATTTGTGAAATTAATTTTATTTAATATTTAATTATTTAGATATTAAAACAAATGAAAATTAACTAATCATTGTTTGTTCTTAAAAAAAATTTATAGTTTTTTTTAAGTGATATGTGATATTATGCATTCAAAAGAAATTGTTCTTTATATTATTCTTTTAGATTTATTTAAACACTAAGGCTAGAGTCTGTCTCTTATACACATCTAGATGTGTATTTTTAGATTTATTTAAACACTAAGGCTAGAGTAGTAAAATATTTTACAAGTTTCTTAGTTTGTAATTTAAATAATTCCTTTTTTTTTTTTATATCCAAGTTTTTTAGCTTTTCACTTTTTTTATTATACTTAGAATTATTTAAACACTAAGACTAGAGTAGTAAATATTTTACAAGTTTCTTAGTTTGTAATTTAAATAAATCTTTTTTTTTATAATTTTTCTAATTATGAGATATAAATTGTCAAAATAATAAATATAAGACTATTATTATTTGGCGACCCTGTCACTATTGCGACCCACCGCATATTATGTGATTATTAATTTTTCTGATACTTTATTTTTTCAATATTTACTTTTTTAATTAGCATTCTTAATACTTTTTTTTTTACGTGTAAAAAATTGAATAAATAAATAAATGAGCAAACAATAAACGAATAATAAATGTATGAATAAAGGCATGACTATAACAAACAAAACTATTAAAATATAAATGACCACAATTTGTATACATTTTATTGAAAATTTAACGTGTATATACTATAATTGATGCTCATATATTGTATGAAATAACATATGGCTCATTTCACTAAGTAATGATTAGGTGATGAAATTGAGGGATAATCAGGAAATATCTTACTAATATCACGTGATTCAATCGTTTTAGCTAAGAATATCATGTGAAATAAAAAAATTTGTCTAGTTTTCTAAACAATACAAGCATTTTTATTCATTATCAAGGAAAAAAAAAAATCAAAATTAATTTGATGTTTATACTTCGGGAGAAAATTTCTTGGCATAATTTTTCAGTATAATTTTTCAGTTATGAATCAATTTTCTTGATATACAGAAGCGGGTTTTTCTTGTAAATTTTATTTCATCAAATTTTTTAACTTATTATTAAAGTTTATACAAAAATGCATTCACAAAAGAAATGTGGAATGAACAGTTATCATTTAACTAGAAATCTAGAATGCATGTCTCACTTTAATTGTTGTTTAACAAAATTTAAAAAACAGAAATTTATGGAAATTCAGGAAAGTGTTCATTCATGATATTGTAATTCGAGATATTGGGATTCAGAATATTGGCGGGAAATTGAATTCAAAAGATTTGGGAAATAAGAATTCGGGAAACTGGATGTTTCAGGAAAATGTCCAGTTCGATGTGACCCGTACAACTGTAATAAGTAATAATGAGACTAATGAAATACAACTAATATGTAAGTACATATAGTATTATTTGTAGAGCTCCGAATGGGTCAGGTCAGGTCAGGTTAATTGATAAACCTGACCTGAAATTTTTTTTCAGGTCAGGTCAGGTCAGGTTATATCAGGTTGTCCGTTTGACCTGACCTGACCTGAAACCTGAAAAATTTCAGGACTATTTTTATTAAAGTATTGAAAAAAAATGGTACAAAAC